CGGCGTGCTCCCGCTTCCGCCCCGGTCGCTCTCCCCGTCGCCTGTCAGACCGACACGTGCTGAGAGCGACGCGCCGCCGCCGCCGCCGCCGCCGCGACTAATACGTTGTTTGTCGCGGGCGGCCGCGGCCGACCGGCCGGCTCCGCTCGTCCTGCCCGGTATCGTGTCTCCCCGGCTGGGTGTCGGCCCCAGGACGGAACGGGCCGGGCTTTTTGTGGAGCCGTCTCGCGCTGGGCACGCGGCGCGTCGTCGCGTGCCTGGCGTCTGTGGCGGCTCCCGTTCGGAAGCGAGGTCTGGCTTCTCGTTCCGAGTATTTCGGTACTAGATCACGGGTATTACTGGGTCGAGTGGTTCGTACCGTACACCAGTAATGGGCTTACAACACCATTCATTACGTACGCAAAGCAGCTTATTACACCATTTGTGTTTGGTGATGAATGACACCAGGCCCATAACGTTTACATTGATCCGAACAGAGCTTTATGCTCCAGGTACCAATTTTTGCACTTTGTGAGGTATGGACCATTACGGGGTGACCTAAGCTTTCGTTTGGCGAACCTCATCAGTGGGTCATGGCTGCTCCTCGTTAACTTCCAGCAACCGCTAAAAACGTGCCCAGAGTTTCAGGCAGAGATTGCTTGACCACACAAGGCATAAATCTGTGGCAACTTTTCGTTTCTGTGGGGAAATGCTGCGCGGCCGGGTCGATTTCACCGGAGGCTCCCCTCTGCCCCGTTCCTCAGCGCGGCGCCGGGCTCAACGGCGCCCCGATCGGCGCCGGCGCCGCGCCACGCGCCGCGCGCGCGCCGCTTTCGCTGACAGCGGGGGGAGCGCCGCCGCCGCCGCCGCCCGATGGCTCACTCGTCCCACCCGGAGCCGGACGGGGCCGGGACGGGGCTCGGACAGGCCGGGCCAGGCCGCGGCTGGGTGGGCCTGCCGGCGCGGCTGTCTTAGCCAGGGCGTGCCCCGCCGCCGATGACAGCCGTATTAATCATTGTCGCCCGGTCCTGGGCACAGCCTAATGGGCCGGCCGCGACACGCTCGGCTCGAGCGGCGGCGCCCGCTCTGCACGCGCTCGTCGGCATTTGTCAGCAGCTGCAGGCGCGGAGCGGTGACCGCGCCGGCCGCGTCAACGCCGACTTCGGGCGGTCAGCACCGCCCCTAGGACAGGCGCTGTACCGAGGCTTCGGCGCTGGAAGGATGGGTCCGATGTGGGTGGCGAGTTGTCTTTCTGCGCAGTACCTCGCTTCTTCTTTGCGGTTTTTAATATGCCTCTTGTAGCGTTGAAACCTTTGGCATTTTCATCGCCATCACGTTTACAAACAGGAGTTGAAGTAATATATTAGCGAAGGATGCGGTGGGCATTTAGTTGCGCATAAGATAAGTACGTATATTTGTCGTTGTAAACAACACTGCTCAAAGTTGAAAGCCGATGATGTTGCAAACGACACCGGTGCACGCTTAAACGCCTGGAGGAAAAACGCCACTTGTCTACGTAAGCTGACCATAAAATAATTCCAAATCCGTCTGTGACAGCAGAACAGTAGCACGCTATATGACAGCTCTGCATTTTTCACTTGCATCGATATCGGCATCAGCTCTGAGGATCTTTGACTTTTCTCTTATCGATTTAAAGAGCGGCCGCCTCCGCATGAAGACGTCAGCGGCACCTGCGGCTCGACGCTGTACTGCTTTAGCTCTGTTATGCATGAAAATACACCTGGAAAATGAAGCGTTCTTAGGTTTTCTTTCCTGCGGCATATCAAAGTTTGTCGATGGCTCCATTTATAGCGATGGTGTATCGGCGGTGATGCTGTTCCGCTTGTGAGTTCGGCGACCTTAAACGCTGTCATGGCCCATGCGTCTTACTGGCACGCTCGTCAACACATCAGAGTGAGCCAGCATGTAAGCAAACCATGTTTCGGCGCTTTTTCGCTTTTGAAATCCCGCACACATTTCACGTTGCCCCTGACACGCGGCGGGCAAGATCACGGACGTTATATAATCGAGCCTCTTGTTCACCAGCTGCCAAGGCTGGCCAGGGATAATGGCGTTGTCGATCCTGGCGCGTGTACACCTGTTACACTCGTCGCCATCCCTCTGCCATCGCTCATCCCGGCGGACAGCCCGTGTCCGGTGCCAACGGGCAAAACAATACACCAGCCCGCGCGACCTCACCCAGAACACTGGGCCGCTCGTGCGAGCGCTGCCGTTCCGTGGGGCTGCGGTCCGGACTAGACCAGACTTCTGGTCCGGACTAGTACACTAAACCAGACTTCCCAGACTTCAGGCGACAGCATCGACAGCACAAACCACACGTTTAAACAAAGCATCCCTAACCTTAAGCTGTAGGTATAATGTGATCAGCCGCTAAAACGCCTGATCCGGCGCGGGGCCAGCTGTAACAGGCGCGAACGTTGTCAGTTGTCATCACGTGGATGATGTCTAAAACTCAGTGAATGGTGGCAGGTATCTTTGGCAGCCGATACCAATGGGTTTGATCAACGTGCTGGGGGAGGCCTTTCATGACAGGTTAACAGGCGGAGGTCCGCTGTTTACCATTCGCCAGCTAGTTTACAAACAACTTTTTGAAAAATGGTTGGCCATAAACCTGGCCATGCCTGACAATTTGATCGACGAAATACATGAGTTTGCGGTGATTTAATGCTTTGGCAGCTATGACTGAGCTGTTGCGAAGGACGCGATTAGTTTGGGTGGAAAATAATCACAGGGAGCGATTGAGATCGGTCTCGGAGGAGGTGACAGCGGCCATTTTCACCCCGTCACCGGCTGAGCTAATGGTCCGGCGACGCTAAGGCCCGCTCTTGACTTCAGCCGGGGTATCCACCCACACCGTACAACTGGCTTCACGTCTTCTGGTCAGTTGCTGAGATCTGGTGTCAGTCATTGAGAGCTCCGCCAGACGGGCCAGTCTGGATGAAGCCAGCAGGCCTGACAGACTGTCATTGAAATACCACTGTCCTTGTTGCCCTACTATCCTTGTTATCCTACCATTGTTGTTCTCGTTTCCGGGTCGGGTCGTGTCGCTGAAGGTTGCGATTTTGTTAAAGTTCCAGTAAGCTTAAAGCAAGTAGGCAAGTAGGCAAGTAAGACTTGCTCACCCAGCCGCCTAGCCTGCAGTGAGAAGTTCCGAGCGAGCAGGTGGAGAACAGCACCCGTGTTTTAGAAGCGCACGCATGCTCGGCACGCGCCACCCCGCCGACCGCGGCCAGCTCGGCTGCGCACTGCTACCGTTCAGACGCCCCCCGCCCCCTCCCCCAACCCGCCCCTGCGCCGCTGCTGCCGCTGGAATGTGGTCGAATGTGGCCGGAATGTACGCGTGCTGGCGGCGGCCCGCTCATCGGCCCGTCAGACCGAGACACGCGTGCCGACAGCGGCCGCGGCCCCCGGTGTTATCGCACCGTCAGCCGAGGCGCCGCGCCGACCCGTCTGCTCCGCTGAAGCCGTCCCACACCGCTGGCCCGCGGTCTGGTTCGCTGGCCTGGTCTGGTTTGGCCCGACCCGCTGGTCTGATGATTCATTTTCCGCTAGTTTGTTTGTTTGTTGTTTATTTTCGATTATGGACAGGAAGCAGCAGATGACATGATGAGTGAATTGGCGCAAAAGCTGAACGCTTAAATCTGAGCGCCTATCCAAACAACAACAAAATAAAGTCATCGACGCCAGGGAACCCATGACCCACCCCCACTCGTCCGATCTGCATGCTGGTCTGGTCTGCTTGTCTGGTCAGGTGGCTTTCTGGTCTGGCTCACTGGTCTGGTTTGTCGGTCTGGCGTGCTGGTGTGCTGGTATGGTCTGTTGGCCCGGTCTGCTGGTCTGGTGCACTGGTCTGCCGGTCTGGTCCGCCGGTCTGGTCCGCCGGTCTGGTCTGCCGGTTTGTTTATCTGGTCTGCTGGTTTGATGGCCTGGTCTGCTGGTCTGGTCTGCTGGCCTGCTGATCTGATAAGCTTGTCTCGTCGGCCCTTTAGCTGGTTCAAACGCGCAGCTTCATCTGCATGGTTTCGTCGGTCGTTTTCGATGAAGAGATTCCACAAACACCAGAGCTCGATCAGGTCCCACCACAGCCGGAAATGTGCCGGGCCTGTCTCATTTTGTCTCCCAGTGCTGGGGCTCCGGATGTGTCGGTCTTCCCGGAACATTACCATAATGTTCTAACCTCACCTATCGAGTTATGAATGGCCGAGAAACGGTGACCTGTGGCAACTATACACCACAGTGCTAATGTGTGCCGTGCCATGCCACTGTGGCATGGTCGCTGAATGACAGTGGCCACTCGCCGACGGACTCCAGTGTGTTATCCTTTATTGCACCATTCATTGCGACTGCACGCAACTTCCAGACGGTTGACATGGAATAGCATGGAATGTTCTGTTCAAGATTGACCGTCTATTCCGTCAATTCTCTGGCGGCTCACCTATCGGCAGCGGTCCGCTCCACATACGCCACCCCGTGGCGTGTTCCAGTGGTCCGGTCCGGTGGTCCGGTCCGATGGTCCGGCCCGTTGAACCGGTCTGGTGGTCCGGTCTGGTGGTCCGGTCCGGTGATCTAGATCAGTAATCAGGTCCGGTGATCCGGTCTGGTGGTCCGGTTTGGTAGTCCGGTCCGGTGGTCCGGCCCGGTGGTCCGGTCTAGTGATCCGGTCTGGTGGTCCGGTCCGGCGATCCAGTTCAGTAATCAGGTCCGGTGGTCCGGTCTGGTGGTCCGGTCCGGTGGTCCGGTCCAGTCACCGTCACCCATCTGGCCTCACAGGCCACCGGCGTGGCGTCAGGCGAGCCATAGCCAGCAGTGTCAGGGGACCTCCGTCAGCGCTATCGGAACCATCAGCCGGCCGGCCGTCCTATATGGCCAGCTCGGCGGCGCTCAACGTGTGACGAGGCCGGCGCTGCGGGGGCGGCCCAGCTTCCAGGAGAACTGTCCACTGGGCAGTGCCCCAGACTTCCTGGAGGCTCTCCGCGCGGAAGCATTGCTTTGCTGATGTCATGGAGAAGGTCAGGGAGCAGGGGTGACTCCTGACTCCAAGACGGGGGCGGTGATTATGGCTGTTGCTTCTTGATGCATTCTCTGATTGTATAAGATGCAATGGGATGAACTAGTTCTCAGGTATCCAGGAGAGCTCATAGCAGAACAGAGAGATCGATGCCTTGTCTCTTCGGTGGACAATCACTCTGCAGCGACTTTGAGTGGCCTAAGAGAGCACGCCACCTGCAAGATTAAAGACAAATCTACCCAGAGCTTCGCACCGGCCGGCCTGGCCCGTCTCAGGGTGTGATTTGCCCCGGTCTCCCGAGACACACATCTCCCTGACGTCCAGACACACATCTCCCTGATGTGTGTCTCCCAGAGACACACATCTCCCTGACGGGAACTCATCTGACACCAGCCATTCACCTGCCTTCGTGCCGGTATTTCATCTGACATGGCCGGCTCCCGCGACGCGGTCTGCCGGCGAGGTGTCCAGTCGGAGGCCTCCGCCGCTGAGCGCCGCGCCACCCGTGTCTGGAATGCCCCCGGTGGCGCATCTGTCACCTGACCGTGCCGCCGGCCGGGCGGCGGGCACCGCCTCCAATCTCACACCGCCGATTTAGGGTGGCAGCCGCGGCCCAAACAAGCCGATTTACATAATGGTCGAGACGTTTTACCGTAATGGCTAGTCTTGAGATCGGCATCCGCTCGCGCGCCGCGCGGCGACTCCAAACACGGTCGGCTGTCGCAGCGACGGCGGCGGCGGCGGCGGCGTCTCTGTCGTCCCGCTGTCTGCCGGCGGCACGCGCCAGCCGGGCCGGCGCCGTCACCCCGGCCGACAATAGGCCACGTGAGTGGACCACCTGATCGCGATCAGGCGGCCAGCCGGGATGGATTGCCGCGGCCCGGCGCGTGCCGCTCTCCGGGACGGCGCGCGCCGCTGCGCCGCCTCAGGAGTCGCCGCCCGGGCGTCATCGGCCCGGCGCGCCAGACGAGCGCAGCTCGTCACTGCGGCCCACCGACATCGCCGAAATCCGGCCGTGCCCAGCATGGTGACGGAATTAAGGAGCTGGACGTTCCCTCGGGCTGCTCACTGGCTCAGATGCGGAGCTGGTTCGAGCCGCAGCCGGGCCACACGCGTCACGGGCTCCGCGCGGGCGGGTGCGCTGCTCGCCGCGCCGCCTGCGTCCGGTGCGTGCGTGCGATGCGGGCTCACCCGTACATTATTGCAAAGTAATTTGACCGGTCACGTCACGTTTCACGTACGGCTCCGAACAACCGTATCGTATTCACCACGGTATGCTGGATATCCCGCGCCCCACTCGCATTTGGTGCCCGTCCTGCGGCAAATGCTGTAACCATTCATCAGCTGAAGCATGACAGCTATCGGACGTTGGAGCATACTCTCTCTGCCGAAGCACGCCCGGCCGTGGGACCATTTGGCAAGCCGTTTCACACGCCTGAGACGGACGCTGATGTCCCTGCTCTGCCAACGTTGTGAGGCGAGGGAACATCGCGCTGTTCGGCCGCCGCCCGCCGCACCCGCCGCAGGTCGTGACCCGTCCTGAGGTCCGAGGTCAGCGGGGTCTGGGGAGCGGCGGCGCCTCTGACCTGACCCCGGCTGCCGGCGCCCGCCGCGCCCGCCGCCGGCCGCGGCTGCTGTCGGGGCCCGGGCGTTGTGTCAGACACAGGTGCCCCAGGGCGGTGACCTGACACACTGTTGGTGACGGGTCTGCTGTTGCTGCCCAACACCACACGGGTCTGCTGTGCTGCCCAGCTCCCCCGGGCGGGACTGCAGCAGTCTGGGCTGGTGCTGATCCTCGTATTCAGCGCAACCCAACGACGCTTTGCACGTCAGTACGGGGATTAGTATCGGTTTATGCGACGGTCACCTTGACGGCCTCGGCCGTGTTCGCCGCGTGGGCCACGCATATGCGAGTTCGGGAAATGTTTTCGAGTGGGATCAAAACTAATTGTTCCCAAACAGTAAAGAAGTCCCCTATAATGTTTTAGTTTACGAAGGGTCTGTAGCATGATTCACTGATTGTCCATTTCATCACATCCCTGCCAGCACTTTGGACGACAGGTTGTAACACGCAGCAACACTTTCGGGATGCCGACATTCCACTGCCCGACGACTCCTGGCGCAAACGTACATCGCACAGACTCGTGCTGGGACATTAATTACAAACGGTACATTGGTCGACGCTTTGAAGCTGGCTTCGTGCCTCCTCTCGCTCTGGTCGTCGGGATATCGGGATATAGCATGCAACGTGAAATTCTTTTTAGAAAAAACTGGGAAAATCAACCTTGACCACTTCTGTGCGCGTGGCACGTGGCACGCGAAAAAACCCACATCAAGCACCAAGAGACCCCCCAGTCCATCTCCTACCATGACGTGCCATTCTCTTGCCGCTTAGAACCGTGCTTGCCGAGATGCCTGTCTCGCCTGGCTGCTCGAGTATTTCACGTGCGTCACATTTTCCCTCCACCCGTGCAAAGCCAATGCGCCAAAATGCCACCCTGCAGCACGTGGCCCGTGCCGCCGGCCGGCCACATCCCCACGAAACTTGCCACAGCACGTGGCCCGTGCCGCCGGCCGGCCACATCCCCACGAAACTTGCCACAGCACGTGGCCCGTGCCGCCGGCCGGCCACATCCCCACGAAACTTGCCACAGCACGTGGCCCCGTGCCGCCGGCCGGCCACATCCCCACGAAACTTGCCACAGCACGTGGCCCCGTGCCCAGGCGCATCGTGTCCAAGTTTCACCATTCAGCGACCCGCTGCTCGGCCCGGGCTCAAAGGAACGCGAAACGAGGTAGACGGACAGCCAGACAGCCAGACAGCCAGCTAGACAGACACGCCCTAAACAAATGGCATCTATATTTTAGCTTGAAATGGGGCACGCGCCACGTCACGTGCTTGTTTCGCAACAGTTAAACGGACTTTATGTTTGGAATGCAGCTCGTTATAATTCACCCTGGTCGGCACCACACCCTGAAAGACGTAATATTCCGAAATTGGCTGAAATGTCAGAAACATGTTTTCAACTGACACTGGTAATATTGATGGTGCGAATGGTTATGAAATCCACATCCTCCATGGCTCACCTGCATTGAATGAGATCGACCAGCTAATACATGGCTCAAAGGCCATTTCAATTAATGTGCCCAGCTCTTGCTATCATAGTATCATTATGTTGGAAATTTGATGCTGACAAAGACCGTGTTCGAAGTGCACCCATTAGTCGAATGCAATCACAATAATGTTACAAATGGAATATTTCGATCATGGAACTCGTCCCGGTGCCGACGCTATTTCATTCTAGCTTCCTTTCGCCCCCACTCACCCATTCAAGGCATGAAGCACACAATTCAGTGCATTTACGGGCTGGCTGTACCTGCATCTCAATGTGATAGACGCGTATCGAGCTCATATTTTATTCATATGCATTGGCAATTTACCCAATCAAGCTTGAAACGGGGCTGAACCCGTTTACCTGCCATCTGTCGTCTGTGCCTGTAAGCTTAAGTTGTTCGTTTGTCCGCAGCACATCGGCTGTGACGGAGTCGTCGGCTCCGGCCGCGTGCTGGATGCCTGCGGCGAGTGCGGTGGCAACAACAGCACGTGCCAAATTATCTCAGGCATCTTCACCGAGCCGTACCTGGAGGCTGGCTACCGCCTGGTGGTGCAAATCCCGGCGGGGGCCTGCACCATCCGCATCGAGGAGCTGGGAGCCACGAAAAACTACCTCGGTACGCACCGGCCGTGTCCCCCTCCCCCCATGCTCCCACGTCCGGCGGGCAACAGTCAGCGTCACAGCTGCCGCGCTCCATGGGCCCGCGAGCCGGCGCTACGAGATTAGCATCGTGTTTGATGGGGCGCCGGATTTGAGAAGACAGCTCAACGGGCCCTGTGTGAGGGACGAGTTGGCTGGGCTTCGCGGCACATATGGGCCACGTGCTACCTGACCGCGGCCTGGCCCCCGCGGTGTTTGTGGCTTGAGCCGCTGCACTGACGTGACCAGAGAGTTCGCGGTCCGGCCCGACATATGCTTCCTTTGATCTTTCAAGGCTCAGTCCTGTTAATCGATCGTCCTTATAATCAGTCATTACGGTTCTCAGCTCGTAAAGTGCCCATGGAGCGCGTTGTAACACTACGCCATTACGGCACTGAAATAGTTCAGCATTCTCAGTCTGCGTGCTCTGACTCCTCGCACGCACGCTGTCAGCTCTGCGCGACAGCAAGGGGAAGTTTATCATCAATGGCGACTGGAACATCGACATGTCGGGCTCGTATGGCGGCGCCGGTGCCAGCTTCGCCTACCAGCGCCAGCCGGCCCGCGGCGAGCTCATCTCCGCCCAGGGACCAATCACAGAACCCGTCGACATCTTTGTGAGTCTTGCCGACGACCTTGGCATGGAACGGTCTGGGCGCTCTGATTCGCTGCCTCCTGATATTTAACGTCTTCTTCTGGTACGGCTATCAGAGTCGTTCTGGGAGAGTAAAGACCCTGCTAACTTGGGCTTGATAAGACTGGAAATCGCTGCGTATCTTGCCAGCATGACGCAGTCGCAGCTCTTTGTCGGTATAAACGCGAGCTTTTCACACTCCAGCTAGTTGAGGCCACATGCTTACGTTGTCAACGCAAAGGAAGTGACCACCTTTTCATTATGCCTAGAGGAGACATCCTTTTTTTGCGCAATCATTCCATTCGTATTCTCACCAGGTCCGTCCACACAACCTCGCCTCCGCTGATAGATTTCAACAGCGGCCGCCTGAACTAAAAACTGGGTGACCTAAAAAAGAAAGCGCCCCCTCCTCTCCATCACCCATAGCGTGGCGCGCATACTGACCGCCCTGCCGCGTCAGATCCTGTACCGGCAGGCCAACCGCGGCATCAAGTACGAGTACGCCATCAAGCGGAACGCGTCGCTGACGTCGGTGCTGCCGCGGCTGCCGACGGACACGGGCGTGGCCCAGGTGCCGCCGCTGGCCGACGCCCTGCTGAGGCGGCCGGCTGACCAGCCGCGGCCCAGAGACACCGCCAGAGCCCGCCCGGCCGGTGAGGGGGGTTCCGTGCCGGGTGGGGATCAGTCGGGAGCGCCGATGATGAGTCGGTGGCCAAGGGGATCGAGGTAATGACGGCGGGGGAGAGAGATATTGAGGTGAAGGCCGGGGCAGAATCCGCGCTGTATCCACCGCCGTAACTCTGAATTATGGAACTTCCCTTCCACTCAGCCTGTATTCCCGCTTGTGTGCCTAACCCGCTCCCCTCTACCTCTAACCGTGTACGGCGCTGCACTCGACCCGCTTCCCGGCGGCTGGCTAGTCACACGCCAGTGGACTTCCACGGTATTCCTCCATCTTTGAAAGCCGTGGGTGCGGTGGATCGCACCTGACCTGCTCTGACCTGACCTGACCCGACTTGCCGCGCGCAGGCGGGTTCGTCTCGCCGCTGTACCAGTCGTCGCAGGCCGGCAGCGCGGTGCCGTTCCCGCGCCCGGGAGCGGAGCACGCCGGCCACAAGCGGCACCGGCGCCGCCGCCGCCGCCGCCGCCGCTTCCAGTGGGTCGTCACCGGCTACACCGAGTGCAGCAAGTCCTGCGGCGGGGGTGAGCTCGGCGCCGACGAGGCCCGCGCTCGAGGGGCGGGGAGGAGGCGACGCTGGCGATGGCCTGGCCGTGGGTGTGAGATGACGCAAGACCACGGCCGAGCGCGTGGCCAGACCTGTTTACCTTCGAATTGAATCAAACTGAATATTTATGACATCGAAAAAGGGTTTGCTTGCCGCTTGCAGGTTGTTTTTAGACGATGCGTCAGAGCTGACTCACAGCGTTGGGATTAACCCGGTTGCAGGGGAAAGTGCGATTTAATGAACGCAGTGGCGCCTCATGTGAACAGCAGAAATATATATTTATGACGACTGACAAATCCAGCGGCTCTGGCCTCTGTGAGGGACATAACCGATGAGCCATTCGTCTTCACCCGCAGGCACCAGGACCACGGAAGTGGTGTGCATGAAGAGGAAGCGGAAGCAGCTGGCGCCGGACCGGCACTGTGACGCGGCCAGCCGACCGCAGCCAAGCACAGCCAGCTGCAACACCAGCCCCTGCCCAGCCAGGTGAGGCGAACACGGCGTCACCGAACCCGACAGAACACAGGCAGCCGGCCGACCGCAGCCACGCACAGCCGGCTGCAACACCAGCCCATGCCCGGCCAGGTGAGATGAACACGGCGTCACCGAACCGACGGAACACAGGCAGAAGACGCCATAGTACCTCACAACAACGAGCCGCGAATGAGGAGGGTGGAGGCGGACAGAGGACCATGGGTAGGGCAATCAGATGGGGTACGCAAGGTTTTGTGTTCCCAAGTGGTGTAGACGGAAGGCAAGAATAGGGTGTTGATGATGATGAACTCGACACCGAATATTATCAAAACTGGAGGCGGGCTTGCGACGACCTCATCGAAACGTCAGACTACCGAGAGTCGCAGCAGGTTGTGGATGCAGACCCGGTGACACCCTCAAGCGCCAGACGCGTCTCGCTGCCTGGGAGTGTTCTGACCCCCGTTGATACTCAGGTCGGAGCCAGACGTACCTCGCTGGCTGGGAGTGTTCTGACCCCAGTTGATCCTTAGATGGGAGCCGGGCGCGTGTCACCGGAAGTGTCTCGCTGGCTGGGAGTGTTCTGACCCCAGTTGATCCTTAGGTGGGAGCCGGGCGCGTGTCACCGGAAGTGTCTCGCTGGCTGGGAGTGCTCTGACCCCCGCTAATCCCCAGGTGGGAGACGGGCGCGTGTCACCAGAGGTGTCTCGCTTGCTGGGAGTGTTCTGACCCCAGTTGATCCTTAGGTGGGAGCCGGGTGCGTGTCACCGGACGTGTCTCGCTGGCTGAGAGTGCTCTGACCCCCGCTAATCCCCAGGTGGGAGACGGGCGCGTGTCACCGGACGTGTCTCGCTGGCTGGGAGTGCTCTGACTCACCTGTCGCCAGATGTGTCTCGCTGGCTGAGAGTGCTCTGACTCACCTGTCGCCAGATGTGTCTCGGCTGGCTGGGAGTGTTTCTGACCCCAGTTGATCCTCAGGTGGGAGCCGGGCGCGTGTCACCGGACGTGTCTCGCTGGCTGGGAGTGCTCTGACTCACCTGTCGTCAGATGTGTCTCGCTGGCTGGGAGTGCCCTGATCCCCGTTGCTCCTCAGGTGGGAGCCGGGCGCCTGGTCGGCGTGCAGCGTCACGTGCGGCTCGGGCCGACAAACACGCTCTCTGCGCTGCGTCAGCGACGGTCAGCAGGTGGCGCCCTCTCTGTGCCCGGGCGAGCCGCCGGCGCCCGAGAGCCAGACCTGCCTGATGGCGCCGTGCCCGGTCGGCCTCTGGCAGATCGGCGCCTGGAGTCCGGTGAGTCGGCTGTTGAGTCCGGCGAGTCGTGGCGCCAGGAATCCGGTGAGTCGGCTGTTCTGAAGAGGCAGCGGTGACGAGTCCGGAGCCCGATGGGTCTTCTGGCCTGGATTCCGGTGAGTCCTGGCTCCTGGAGTCCGGTGATTCGGCTGTCCTGGAAAAGCAGCGGCGAGTCCGGGGTCCAGTGGGTCGTGTGGCCTGGAGTCCAGCGGTGCCTGTGGCTCAGCGCCCAGGGGGCCATATAGCCTGGAGCCTAATGGTTTGGACGTCCTGGAGTCCGGCGAGTCGTGGTGCCTGGAGTCCATTGAGTCATGTGGCTTTGAGTCGGGTGAGTTGTGTGGCATGGAGTTGAGCTAGTCGTGACGGCCGCCCGGGGTCCGGCGAGGATATTGTGATGACGTCACGTCACGTGTAACGAGATTGTGCTCTGCTGTCTGACGGCTGACTACCGTTTTACTTTGACTGAGCTTCGACTGAGCTCCCGATGTCCAGCCTATGCCCAGGGCCATTGGTTGTACGATGAGTCAGATCCAATATTTTCGGATTCGAAAAATCATCGCAAAACATAATGCCATGACTCACCGGCATAGCTGGCACTTGCAAACTTCAAAGCGCGCGCCACACATGTAATAGGCACACCGGCCGGGCGGTGGCGCCGCTGAAGGGAGGCCGCGCCGCCTACCCGGCGCCGCTGACAGCGCCCCTGGCGGCAGTGTTCGGTGAGCTGCGGCTGGGGCTCGCGGCGGCGCCAGGTGAGCTGCTCGTCGGCCGGCGCCCGCTGCTCGCCGTCCGACCGGCCCCGCGACACGGCCCCCTGCCGGCGGCCCGCCTGCGACGACGACGGCGATGCCACAACCAACGACGCCGACACCGACGGCTGGATGTTCGCCGAGTGGAGCAAACAGGCGAGCGGGCTTAGGCCGGGTATAAGCCTTCTAAGCTATGTTCGTCTCATTCCGTAATATATCTGTACGCTCTTTATGGCTCATGACTTGAATTCATTAGTTGAGGTTGTGTTTTGCAGAGCCGGGGTGAGATAGACCAAAAAATAGCAATCAATTTTTAGAACATCGCAATGGCTTGGACACCCTATGATGCAGATTAATTCCATACATGTTTTGCACGAACATCGAATTCAAACGCTTGTCATGAAACCGTTTTATATCTTTTTTTGCCAATGCCGATATTCCGCTGATTGTCGAATTCGCGACGAAGGAAGGCATAAGAAAACCAGTTGTATTTGCCAGAGAAGAGCATCATGCTCGTAAAATTCCGTTACTCCAGCCTCTCCAACTCCCATAGCGAAAAGCCAGCGGCCTCTGTACAGACTGGCAACATTGCTGATGACACTTTGACTGGCTGGATATTTCTGCAGTCTGACGAGACCGCTCTAGAGCCCACTGACCTACCGCGAACACGGCGCTCGCCATCGCCTCGCGCGTGACCGTCGCGCCTGCCGCAGTGTTCGGTGGAGTGCGGCCAGGGCGTGCAGTGGCGCCAGGTGACGTGTGGAGGCAACTGTGACGCCCAACGGCGGCCCGAGGAGACGCGGCCCTGCAAGACGGACCGCCGCTGCGCCGGCACCTGGTTCACCGGGCCGTGGAGCAGGGTGAGCCGCGGCGCCGGGGTTCTGGTGCGGGAGCCGGCGGCCGCGCGGCGGCCGGTCGGACGGTGCGGACGTACTGTGGTCGGGGTGTGGGGTTTAAGTATGCGACTCAGCTGGCGTCCAATGGATTCTTCTGCGATCCAAATCCGCGGCATCGCTTCTCCGAGTGGTGTGCTCTGTAGTCTAGTGTTCCAGTGCTCTGAACAGTGCTGTGTTCTGCCTTTGTTTCTGCACCGGGTGTTGCGATTTTCCGACAGCGACGGCTGCCGTACTTCAGTACCGGATGACGGCCTTGATTCAGTTCTCTGCGCTGCTGCATTTTAGCACCGCGTTTGACCGCGTCCGGTAGTACCGTGCGATCCCCACAGCAGATGATTTCAGTACTCGGTGCCCTCCGGTCACCCCGCCTCCACCCTCCCCCCTCCCTGGTACGCAGTGCGCCACCTCACGAGACCCTGGTGGGCGTGTTTCAGTGCTCTCACGAGTGCGGCGCCGGCGTGCAGACGCGCCCCGTCGCCTGCGTCCGCTCCAACGGCGGCCAGTTCTCGGTGGTGGAGGAGGCGGCGTGCGGCGGCGCGGCGCGGCCGGCCGCCGAGCAGCCGTGCGGCGGCGACGCCTGCGCCGCCCGCTGGCACGGCTCCGAGTGGGCCGCCTGCTCGGCCTCGTGCGGCGCCGGCTGGCAGAGCCGAGCCGTCGCCTGCCTGGCGGCCGACGGCGCGCCGCAGTCGTCCTGCCCGGGCGCCGAGCAGCCGGAGCGCCGCCGCTCCTGCCTGCTGGCTGACTGTCCCCGCCACGGTACGGACCCGGCGCGAGCCGCCGGCCCGCGCCGCTGCACCCCATGGCCGGCAGCGATGTGGGTGGTGCCGTTTATCTGTCCCACTGAACTGCGTGAGGTATTCAATGCCGACATCTGTTGGTGCGTTTAGGAGGTGTTGTTCTTCGGAGTGTAAAGTGGACGCCGCTCCTTTCCTTTAGGAGGTCTTGTTCTTCGGAGTGTGAATTGGACGTTGATTCTTTGAGCTCCATTGTCGGCCCGGCCAGTCCTTGGTCATGTGTTGCGCTCTCTCTGCACAGCCGCACGCATATGCCAACGCCTCCCTTTGCTGTGTTGAACTCCACCCTTCCGGACAGTGCACAGCCACCATATAAATGCATCCACACCCCGCGTAAAGCTTGCACGTTCAAGGCACATTCCATCGCATCCTTCTGCTTATTTCACTGTGAATATCACTGCGTCGTAGCAAACTTTCTGAACGATGTCCAAATTCTAACTAATTAAACAAATTCACTTTCATGGCTAAAGCGTGCAGTGAGCTCGTGCCTTGTGTATACGGACAGCTTTTTCGTGTTCACGCGTCACTTGCTTTGTTGTTGTGTTCAGCTTGATGTACATATGCAGCCCGGCAAGGTGTTCGCTACCTTCGCTTGGTGCGTGGCGCTTGACTGTCCGCTTGTGTCTTCTTTAGTCTCCTCCACTGAAGGCCTCGACAACCAGACGACGCGGGTGAACGCTGTCGACACCGAAGTCAACGCGATACCGCGCGTCAACGATGAGAACTTCTCGTTTACCCCGACGCCGTCGGATGGCGCCGTCGGCGCCGGCTCGGACGCGACCTCGACCGAGCTACAGGACGTGGTGAACAGCATCGCGCACGACCGGCCGGCGCGCCCCGACAACCGGCTGGAGCCGGCGGCCGGTCCGCCGACGCCCCCGCTAACGGCCACCCCCGCCGCCGCAGAGGTCACCCCCGCCGCCGCGGAGGTCACCCCCGCCGCCGCGGAGGTCACCCCTCCCGTGGCGTCACCCAGCGTGGCGCGGCCAGCTGGCCGGCGCCTGCGGCCGCGCCAGCGCAAGCACCGCAAGCACCGGCAGCGGGCGGCCGGCGACCAGCAGCACAGGAGCCAGCAGGCCGGCGGCGCCGCGCCGGCGGCGACCGCAGGTGGGCGCTGTGTGACGTCAGGGTAGATTGAGGATGGATTGGGGGGGGGGGGGGGCGGGGCCTAAGGCTTTGACGACGCACGGAAGACAGCACTGACCAGTCGTCGCTGTTAGCGCTCGCCTACAGACTGGTAGGCATAGAAAGGTATGGCTGAGAACGTGATTTTTGGCGGTGTTCTGTACGTCAGCATGATGCGTATGTGGCAAGATTGCGTACCTTAACAGGGCGAGGCGGGCGATCCACAGTCTGTCGGCAGGGCGTTCTGTGCCGCTACCCCATGCACTGACCGCCCTTCTCTTCACAGGCTCCTGCACGGATCGGTTCAACAACTGCCTGCTAGTGCAGCAGGCACGGACTCTGCAAGTATAAATACTACAGAAACGCTTGCTGCGCCACTTGCAAGCGGGGCAAGGGCACCTGAGGTGGCGACAGCGCGGCCTGCGATAATAGTGACACACTGCCATCTAGCGAGCGGCCAGCGAGGCTCGCCCGGGTGCGGGGCCGGCCGGCCGGCGGAGAGACTCTCGGTCGAGAGCAGGCTGACACGGCCGGTCAAAGGATCGCGTGTGGGCCGGGCCTCGGACGCGGTCCGACCCGCGGAGCGAAGGACCGCCGAGGCTCGGTCTGACCCGCGCCGCGGCCCGGGTCAGACAGGCTGTCGCCGGTGTCAGACGGCGCCAGCGGGCTGCTACCGGCGCCAGTGGGCTGTCACCGGCGCCAGCGGGCTGCCACCAGTGCCAGCGTGATGCTGCCGGCGCCAGCGGGCTGTCACCGGCGCCAGCGGGCTGCTACCGGCGCCAGATAGGCCGCTGCCGGCGCCAGCGGGCTGCCACCGGCGCCAGATAGGCTGCTGCCGGCGCCAGCGGGCTGCCACCAGCGCGACGGGCGCCACCGCCGCCCTTCCGTGTAGTGCAGTGGTGGGGGCCGTCTGAGGATGGACCACTAACCACCCGCTTCTAGAGGAGCTCGCCGTTTTCAGCCGAAGGCGCATGGTTTGTGGGACGTAGCCGGCGCGCGTGACGCGGCGCGTGCTTCTCCCACTTACGCCTTGTCTCGAGTGAAAGCTCCAGCTTGGGCGCCCGGCCCTAACACGGATACATTATTTAAGCGAACGGCCGCAACCCATTCTAGTTCACTGTTCTAGTTCAACTGCGTCTGAAGGGCTCAGTAGGCAAAATAAAACCGCATTTGGTAACCCGCCTACATTAGAAATGTGTGGGGTCGCCGCCGCGTTGGGGGTCACTCCTTGTGTCAGTCAGTTAGTCCGATTACGACGCGTCGTACAGCCCGGTGAACGACCGAACCGACGCAACGAACCGGGAAGCACGACAGCGGCTCGGACGGAGGCAGCTCACTGGTCTCTGCTCTTCCGCATCGGCCGCTGCTATCCCGAAACAAGCACCGAAATCGAATCATGAACGTATATTGGCAACGTTGACGGAAGGCCGAGTAGGGAGCACCCACAGGAGGCGGGACGTTGGCGGGAGCGAGGGCTGAGACTGAGACTGGGACAGGCAGGAGAGGCGGACGGCAGTCTGCCGGCCGGCGGCGCCGCTGACGGCAGCAGACCACGGCCCGAGCGGAGGCTGACCGGTCCCCGTACCCCGTGTCGTCCCCGCCCCTGCCTCGGTCGACCGGCCCCGACCGGTCCAGGTGGCCGGGACGCCGGCCGCGCTCACATCCCTCCGCGCAGCCAGGTCCGAGCCGTCCCAGCGACCGGGTCTCCGACGACCGCGTAACGGAGCAAACACAACGCCAAACTCGCCAGCGGCCGCGGCCGGGTCGGCACGGAACGGCGGGAGCGCGGCCGCGGCGGCCGGTCGGCTGCGCGCGCGGCGCCGGTCTGGAGGGTCGGGGCACGGGTCACCACCCGTTGACCCGAGGGGGCGGGTCACACTGACAACACGCATCACAGACAGCGGGACAGCCCTCATGGACGGAGATACGCCTACCACGAAAGCCTCATCAACGCCACGAAACTGAACACACCCACGCAATCGTATCACATGGATCACGCCGCGTCCAGTTGCACAACCGGATTAAAGAAAAGCCCACAACCGTACGCAGTGGAAAAAATCACGTGGTGCATATATTTTGGCTGTTAGATTGGTCAGTAATATCTCGTCTATGATGACGTCGCTACATTTCTGGCAGCGCGTCTACCCGGCTGATTTGTTATTAAATCGCGAAACCAAGGAAGCCCACCGTGAGTTGCAGCAGCGACATTTGCAGCTCCGAGTCCAGCTCGGGATTATTGCCAGCGAGGTAGTATCCGCACCAACAGGTCGTTAAACACGCAACACAAATCACGTCCAGCTGTTAACGAGGGCCAGCAGATATGAAAACAGCCAAACAACGTAGGCAGTGTTACGTACACCCCCAAGCGCCCATATTTGGCAACTACCGCTACAGGTCACGTCGAACCTCTAGACGCTTGACACCGCTCCGCTAACTGCGTGATCAAGACGAAACAACGGTTCAGTTATCACCACTCTAGGGCACACCAAGTCCGACGGTATTACAGATGGCATGGAATGGCAGCGTGTCGTCCCCGGGGTGGCGCGCCCGGCACCAGCCGTGACCCTGCGTCGGCGGACCGGCCGCGAGCCGACGGGGCGGGCGGCGCCGTCCCGCCTCGGGGCGCGCTCGGTGTCCGCTCTCCGGACTGGGCGGGCCCGGCGGACTGGGCGGGCCCCGGCCCAGGGCGGATCAGGTCAGTGACGTCACCGTGCTCGAGGTGACGTCGTCGGTGTCGTCATCCGACTCGGTGACGTCGGAGTTGGTGGCAGAACTCATGGCGAATTCCCTTTCGAAATCCTCCTGCGGCCTCCACCTGGAACGCGAGCATGGCAGTGAACGTGCTCCACCTGACAGGAGGCGTGACTCAACAGAGACGCGCGGCGACGCGGTGTACATACGATCGCAACCGAAACTGATAACAACACGCAAACAACTTCTCTTTAGGCGCAGCAGTGCAAGACCATCAAACTGCAATAGATGCCTCACGCACTGACCCGAGCTACGACTGAGTCTATCCGTTATCACCAGACGCCAAGTACGTGCAACGCGACACGCCGCCCGCGGCGGCGCGCCGCGCCGGACCGGTACGGACCAGTAGGTGCTCCTGGCCCGCTCCAGGGCGGCCAGGTCGCCCGGCACCGACACCAGGTGCAGCGCCACCGCCAGCCGGGCGCCCGTCTCCTGCAGCTGCTGCGTCGACAGGTGACACCCCTGTCACGTCCGGCGCCGCAGTCAGACCAGCGCGGACAGCACGCGGACACGAGGACGGGGCGCTACTGACACCTGGTGACGACTGCTGGGGAGGACGGCGGGGGCGACACTGACCCGTCGCCGTCACACAGCGCTACTGACACCTGGTGACGACTGTAGGAGATGAAGGGTGACACTGGTGCAGGTGGTCATGTCCAGAACACAATGTGGACAGTGGCGACACCCAGCGGCCTGAGCAGCGCTGGACTGGTTGTGCGGCGAAGCGCGAACGTTGGCGACCGAATGGTGGCACGTGGGGAAAACAGACGGTGGGTCGCCCACCGAGGATGCACGCACATGTCCACTGCCGTACACAAAATCACGGGAACTAGGGACAAGTGATGACAACTCCAGACACCCAGCACTGCCGACGACAACAGAATTCAATCACGTCGGTCAAACACCTTCCACACTTTCCCCGCTGGCAGCGGCCGGTCGGGCCGGGCCCTGCCGGGTCAAGGCCAGACAGGGGAGCATGCGGGCGCCACGGTCGCCGCCGACCGGTCCGTCACCTGGTACGGCCCCTGGTCGCAGCCGCAGTAGCTGCTCTCCATGGTGTAGCTGCGCTGCACGCCCAGCTCGCGCCAGACCACCACGCGAGCCGTGGTCTCGCGCGACCGCTCCACCGTCAGATGGCAGCACCGTAGACTGAAGGCGGGCGCCACCCGGTACAGCGCCTGGCAGAGAGCCGGAGTCACGGTACAGTGACTGGCAAACTGCCGGGGTCATGGTACAGTGTCTGGCAGAGGGCCGAGGTCACTGCACAGCGTGTGGTACAGCGGCAGTTGAAGTCCCGCCAGAGGGACGGGCCCCGTTTTACCACCTGCCACGGAAAAAGCTACAGGAGGTAGTGCACGAAAATTAACTTGATACATATCCCGAGATAGGCAGGGTACGACACCGAACACCCCGACGTACCGGACGCCGCTTTCGCACAGGTAGAGCACGTCCCCCGCGCGGCACGGATACAACACCTGAGACAGTGTACAACTTCCATGCCATCCCCATCGCACCTACCCAGGTTTGCCACGTCGTCCCGTCCCCGACGGCTGGACGGCACCACCAGCGCCCGACTCCGCCGGCGGCTGGGCGGGGTCCCCGCCCTCGGCCGGACGCCGGCCGGAGCCAGGGCTCACCTGCGGCAGGCAGCTGACCAGCGCGTCGTTGTCGGGCCTCTGCCTGTCGGCCGGCAGCCAGGAGCGCCGGTTGCTGCAGCCGTACAAGAAGATATTCTTGCGACACGAGTGGCCGTGGTAGTCGCAGAAGAGGTACGGCACGCGCTTCAGCACGAACGTCGAGTACTCCATCAGGGTCTGCCGCAGCACACGGCGCTGATGGTTCGCTGCATGTCGCACGCAACGGCCGCAGCGGAGCCGGCCAGCAGCCGACCGTCCATCACTGGGAGCACGCAGACGTCAGCTTGTTGGATCATCTACCGACACATGGAAGTGCTACACCCACCAGCGTCACCACAGTGTGGACGGCCCGGGGGAGGGGGGAGGGGAGGGGAAGGGGAGGGGGAGAGGGAGGGAGGGAGGGGGAGAGGGAGGGGAGGGGAGGGGGGGGAGGGGCTGTCTGTCGACCGACCGGCGGGCTCGGCTGACCTTGGCGCGGTAGATGACGGGGTGCAGCAGCGGGTCGGGGGTCTTCCAGCGCCGGTTCAGGTCCTCGTCCGTCAGGCCGCACCGGTGACTGGCGGTGACGTCACAGCGACCGAGTCAGGTCAGAGTCAGGTCGGCGAGCTCGTCCAACAGCCCTCCACAGGCACTTCGGCATCACAAGTCTGCGCTTCACATCACTGAAAGTCAAACATTTCGACGGCGCACCCTGGCATTCATTTTCACGGAAGAAACCACAATTGGCTCCACTTTCCGGCCCCTCCAGCGTGGCGGTCCGCTGGCTCCGCTCCGGCCGTCTCACCAGCCGTTGACGACGCCGGCGACGTTCAGCATGGGCACCAGCTTGAAGATGAAGCGGTCGCGGAGCGCCTCGGCCTCCGGGGCGGCGCTGAGCAGGAAGCGCAGCGTGCCCTCCATGGCCCAGGAGGCGCCGCTCTCCCCCGGGTGGATCCGCGCCGTCAGGAACACCACCTCCTTCTGCGGCGGCGGGCGGGCGAGCACCGTCAGACCAGCGGTGGCGAGGGTCGAGCGGGGGGGGGGGGGGGGGGGCTCAAACCGCTGGCCGGCTCGGGGCGTGGGTCTACCTCAGCAGCTAAGAGTGCCACACGTGCTGAGCTCTCTGTCGAGCCAAACCAGATCCGACATCACGCCACTGACACAGTGTCAGGAGTAGGCCGGTTAGAAGTCCAACTGCCACGCAGCACTCGACTGGTCTCAGGTCATCACGTCCGCACGACGACGAAACTGCAGAGCGCCGTCACCATCGCCACTCGTCACCGTAGAGACCCGGCAGGGGTAAGCTGCCTGCCGGACGGGTGGTAGCTGCGACCACTGCCTGCCGGCCGGCCGGGCGGTGGCTGCGGACCTTGTGCTGCAGCGTCTGGCCGGTGACGGTGACCAGCGGGTGCCGGGTTGCCGTCCAGGTCGGCGGCCAGCGGCTCGTTTCGCCACCAGACCTCCGGCTCCACCGCGCCCTCCAGCAGCTCCAGCATCGTCTGCCGGCGCCGATCACCACCGGTCAAGTCAAACCTCCAGGCGCTCGCAGCTCTCGGGTACTCTAGCGGCACATACAAGCCCTCAAGCTCACCAGCGGAGCCATGTCTTATGTCTCCGAAGCGCCAGGTATTCCACTTCTTTTGAACGCGTTGATCGCAAGCATAACCGTAATTTCAAGAAGACTCACACGGCTGAAAGTAACTTCTACTACTGTCGGTGCATACTTTGACTGCTTTTGATGTAAGTCTGAAGTAGACAAGAGCTGCTAGCTTCTTCGTCGTCGTGAAAAACCTGATGATGACTGTATGCACACGTTCTGACGCATTTTTTGGTGGGCTTCCTTCGCGAGGCATGATTCCCTCGTTCCTTTAACACATATTCCCTGTAGCAATGACGTCACTGCTACAGCTCCGCATCACGCACATTCCCCCGTCCCGTGACTCCAGCCATAAATGACACTGTATGCTTAGTGATGATCACGGTTTTCAAAGAAGGAATGTCCATATGACGTTATCCCATGTTCATATGACGTCACATGCCATTTCGTCATCGTTCTCTGAAAACATTGCCCAGTCAAATGCATTCTATCACACTGGCCTCTTCACGCGGCCCTCAAAGGCCTCCGCCACAGCGTCACGCATCCGTAAAAACTTGGGCGCTTACTGTTTGGAAAAGGAACTGCACTCCTTCGATGGCATTGTATAAACAAAATTATACTGACATGGCTGAAAGTTTGTCTGGCTGGTGGCATGGACCGCACATTCGGCCCTAATGTTGATCAATATTCAGATTGCCCACCTTAACCCATCGCTGCACCGTAACTATCCCGTGCGCCGATACATCCTAACTCCATGTGACCTGATCCAGTGATTTTAACTGTGAAGGACGTATCATCACAAATCCTAAGGAAAATTCAAACAAAGTCTGTGCACTGGAAAACGTCTAAGCCACCCAGCGTAGCTACCAGATCAAGAACCAATGCGGTATATCCTGCCTTGTCATCTCCCAGTACTTCCGACCTGCCATTCGTTGGTGACGCACTTGACAAGTTCATGACTCGTACATTCCCCGCGTTCGCTTATCGCCCACAACACATCCCAGTACCCACCACGTGACAGCGAACACTGCGACGACGCGCTGGTGACCTCAGTCAGCGAGGAGGCCGACCAATGAGCGCCGCCTCGCACCGGCCGCAGCAGCCGACGTGGGACCCATCCCCGCACCTCCCCGCCCCTCCAGCCGGGACCGCGGGGCGCCCCCGCGGCGTCCCCCGCAGCGGCAGGACCGGCGGCGGGCCGGCGCGCCCACCTGCAGCCTGGTGTAGGTGTACGGGTAGTGGAAGGCCAGGTAGCAGACGTCGCCGGTGTGCGGGAACGTCACCGTGAAGGAGGCCGTGCAGTAGACGCGCTGCTTGCCCTGGACAGGCGACGACACGCGGGTCAGACGGGTCTCCGAGCCGCCGTGCTCAGAAGACGGACAGCACGCCGGCGCTGCCCATGCGCCGTGGTCTCGTGCAAACAAACAACATCCGACCCGCACAGACCAGACGTTCAGCTGCCTAACCTGTCACGATATTCTGATTCATACGCTATGCGTGGATAGACGAGACGAGAACTTGTTACATCCAGCTCTGGAGACCAAAACACAACAGAGTCTAAGTTAGATGAGAGAATGCTGCGGGCTACCAGCCTGGCCCCCAACAAGACCCAGATCTCCGTTGGACCAGCGGCACAACAACAGTCCGGTAGAGGTACGGCCCCGGTATGCACCCGTCTGTGGCCGCACCAGAAGGCCGCCGGCCACCTCCGCACCTGCTGCCGCTTGCTGGGGTGCCGGGCCGGCCGGCGGTAGGCGTTGCGGTAGTAGAAGACGTCGGTGCCGACGCGCACCCAGTGAGGCCGGCCCCGGACCGCCTCCTTCACCCGAGAACAGCACCGGCCGCATTCCTGCAACACCAGCCGCCGCTGGAGTACTACGCCGCCGGGGCGCGCCGCCAGCCGCTGCCCTCCGCTGCTACCGAGCGCCAGGACCCGACTACGCCGCGGGGGCCGCCGCCAGCCGGCGCTGCCTTCCGCTGCTACCGAGCGCCAGGGACCCGACTACGCCGCCGGGGCGCCGCCGCCAGCCGGCTGCCTCCGCTGCTACCGAGCGCCAGGACCCGAATACGAGCGCGCGTGTGGCGTGGCTCGCCATGGCGTGTGACGCCATGGTAAGAGCTCAAAGCTTACACGACAGCTGGGAATCATTCGCCCACAAAGTCTCTTCACTGACTTGCATTCTGCGACCATGCTTCTGAAGTATTAACGCGTCGTTCATGAGTCAGTAGAATGCATTTTGACAACAAGGTTGAAGCATGCACTCATGTTTAACTCACACCGATAGAGATAAGGCACGCACGCCTGCAAGGGGCTGCCACAACATGCACCTAACGTGCACGTATCTATACAGCCACTCAAAGCAACACAAAACGCTCCGACCGCTTTCCCAGTCCACACCGCTCTCCCCACTCTCAACGCTATCTCTCCCCTCCTTCCCCCCCCCCTACACACACACCGGGCCCCGACAACTCCCCTGATTTCCCCTCCCACTCCAGACTTTCCCCACTCTCCGTGACTCGCTATATGGCTGATGTTGGCCACTCCCCACTCCTTGACACTCTTCCGCTTCTGACTTCCTCTCTACCACTCTGTAACCCCGCTCCCGCTCCTGAATACCCTTATCCCACTCCCTGACACCCCCTCCCGCTCCCCTCTCTCCAACTCCGAAACTCAACTCTCCCACTTCGAACTCCCTCTCTTTCACTCTGTGACACATCTTCCCGCTATCGACTACTCCTATTTCACTCAGTGGCACTCCCTACCGCTCCTGACTCATCCCTCTTGCACTCCGTGATCCCCTCCCCCCTCTCTCTCTCTCTCTCTCTCTCTCTCTCTCTCTCTCATCTCTCCTCTCTCTCTCTCTCTCTCTCTCTCCTCTCTCTTCTCATCTCTCTCCTCCTCTCTCTCTCTCTCTCTCCTCTCCTCTCTCCTCTCCTCTCTCTCTCCTCTCTCTCTCGTCTCTCTCTCTCTCTCTCTCTCTCTCTCTCTCTCTCTCTCCTCTCTCTTCTCTCTCTCTCTCTCTCTCTCTCCTCTCTCTTACCCTTCGCGACATCCTCCCGCTTTAGTCTCCCCTCTCCCCTGCCGGCTCTTGACTCCCCATCTCTGTGACCCCCTCCGCTCCTGACTCCCTCTCTTCCTCTTCATGGTCCGTCTCCTGTTCCCGACACCCTTTCTCCCCCTCCGTGACACCCCTCCCACTATTGACTATCTCCCTCTCCGTGTTTCTGACTCCCTCTCTCCTTCTCCGTACTCCGTCTCCCGCTCCTGACTACCTCTCTCCCCTCCGTGACACTCCCCCCGCTCCTGCACCCCTCGCCGCTAGGGGCCGCTCCGCCGGCACGTCTCACCTACCTGCCTGGTACTCACAGCTCAGCTTCTCATTGTTGATCAGGTTGAACGTGTACGGCTCGCCAGCGAGCATGTTGGACACCTCGAAGTAGAACCACTGCTGATGCCGGCTGGAGCCCACGTCCGGGCAGATCACCAGGTCATACTCGCGGGCGGCCGTCTACCGGCGCCGACACCGGTCAGCGCTGCAGGGCACCCACCACACCCGACACACGGCCGGCCACCAACACCGGGGCGCACCGTCAGGGCACCCACCACACCCGACACACGGCCGACCACCGACACCAGGGGCGCACCGTCAGGACACCCACCTCACCCGACACACGGCCGACCACCGACACCAGGGCGCACCGTCAGGACACCCACCTCACCCGACACACGGCCGACCACCGACACCAGGGGGCACCGTCAGGACACCCACCTCACCCGACACACGGCCGACCACCGACACCAGGGGCGCACCGTCAGGACACCACCTCACCCGACACACGGCCGACCACCGACACCAGGGGCGCACCGTCAGGACACCCACCTCACCCGACACACGGCCGACCACCGACACCAGGGGCGCACCGTCAGGACACCGACCTCACCCGACACACGGCCGGCCACCGACACCAGGGGCGCACCGCGTGACGTCACATGACCGCTAACTGACGGAAGGACGCCGTCCACCACTGGCCTCGTCGTCAACGTTGACCATGAGACAATATACACAGCTATTGGGCAGCGAAGCACGAGTCAAGAACGCTGTTTTCTTTGACGCCTCAATTGACGTGAGCCGGCGACGTGAGGATTGGCCACAAAAAGAGTAAGAAACATATCTAAACAGAAGACATGAATACCCCCCCCCCCCCCCCCCCACCACCACACCACACCATACGCATACATCAGAGGGGAGTTTAAAAGGTATTTGTACCCGAATGCCTCTCCGAAGGTTTCCAGACTCGAAACGGGACTCAAATCGGAGACTGGAGTTCTCGTTTGTCTCGATCAAAGTCGTAGCCACCCTCTTCTCGTCCAAATTATCCAGTAACCTGTGTAAAACACAAAAGCCGACATACAGACAACTGATGTAAAACTCACCATGCGCCATATGCTACCTCTTTATATCGGTATGCCGCCATTAATTCCTTATGAAAATATTCACTTCTTCCTACACTCGTTGCTACGAATATTTCTGTCCCACCTAAAAAGATACGTTACATAGTTATCGTGGGGCACAAAAGCTCTCGATGTCGGCAAATAAATCCAAGTTCTTGGTCTTTCGGCCTCATGAGGTTCATGCTGATAACGACCAACCTTGACATAACGGCCTTCAAAGAGCCCCGGCCTCGCACCCACCTGACGTCACCGACAGCCTTGGGAAATGTCTGGACCAGGAAGTCGTAGTCGTAGACCACCTTGCTGTCCGCCTTCCGCTGTCCCATCGCGTCATCAACCAGTCCCTGCACCTTCTTCCTGCGAACACAGGCTCGGCTGCACTCGAAGACTCCGGTCCCGCCTGATCGCGTCTAATGTTCTCTGTTGACTGCGACAAAAGGCTTATGATTCCGCACTGCGTGTTTTTAGACATACGAATGAATAACGGCCCATGACACAGTTGTAACATATCCAATATATGCAATAATATATACACATGGTTATGCTATTGGCTCTACCAATACATAACACAATACACGGAAATAATCACTTGCCCTGTTATCCCGCGTATTATTAATTATAAATCCACCTGAGCGATACAGGCGAGAACATGACGTCTATCTATCGTACGCAACTAATAACGCCTAAGACTCGGGCGAGAACAAAGCAGCCGCCAAACCCACCATACACGCCACTATTTTGCCAGCTCAGCACCAACAACACGTACAGCAGCAAGAACACACTCTGGCACAAAGCAAACAGCGGCAAGCACGCGTCACGAGAGTCCCCGGAGATATCGGCCCGCGCTGTGCGCCGGAGCAGCGACGGGCTGCCTGTCGTTCGGCGATGCTCTCAGGGCCACGACAGCCGCATTATCAACAGCTCGCAGCCCGCCAGCACGGCCCAAGCGTCGTTGAAGCGCATCACCCCAGATGAGTGGGTATCTCGTGCGGGCGTGACCCAGCCGTCACCGAAGGCCATCGGCTCGCTCTGACCGCGGTCAGGTCAGATCACGTCAAGGCAGGACAGGGCAGGGCAGAGCAGAGCGTGGCAGGGCTAATACGCGGCAGGGCAACGCAGGACAGAAAAGGACACGACAAGACGAAGGCAAGGCAAGGCAAGGCAAGGCAAGGCAAGGCAAGGCAAGGCAAGGCAGGAGGCAGGGCAAGGGGAGGGGAGGGCAGGGCAGGGCAGGGCAGGGCAGGGCAGGGCAGGGCACGACAGTGCACGGTCGGGCAGGGCAGGACAGGGCAAGGCAAGGCAGGACAGATCACGTCAGCTCATGTTACGCCTCACCTACAGACCAGCCGGTCGCAGACGGCCAGCGACTCCCTGTCCTCGACACCGACGGCGCCCACCAGGTCCGGATAGGCGAGCTTCACGAACGGCGCCACGTGGCGGGTGTTCTGCGCCAGACGCCTGCGGTCAGACGCCGCCGTCAGACGGACCAGCCGGCCGCTGGCGGCGCCGGCGCCGGTGCTGCACACACCACTCGCCATGCGATCAGTTTACACTGAGTGAGGACGGTTAGACCAAGGAATGTGATGTCAGGAGGGAATGTGGTAAAACGGCTTGCAAACGCCGCTTTAGGGTATATTTGCGAACAACACCCGCTATGCAGGGGACGTCATAAACGAATATATCCCTAAACTTAAAGCGTGTGATCGGAGTTCCGCCGGGACACCGCAGCCCTAATACGTCTCTTCCTGGCTCATGTGCCTGAAAATGATCACGCTGGGTTCACACAGCCTTGCGCCACCCTGGCCCACTGAGTTTACAGCCAACGCCGGCTGTCGACAGAGCGGACAGCAGAGCCGGGTGAGTAGGCCCGCTGTGGCGTTCGTCCTGCCTCCCCGCACCTGTAGATGTCGCGGTACTGACGGCGGCTGTCGCCCTCGCCACGCCGGTCGCTCCACTCCTGCAGCACCTGCCACGCCTGGCCCAGCTTCGCGGCCGTCGGCGGAGACTTGCCCGGCGGCAGCAGCGGCGGCGGCGGCGGCGGCGACACCGGCCGCACGGGCGTCCCCTGGCGGCACAACCGCGACAGGCAGCGCGGCAGGCAGCGGCAGCCGGCCGCCTTCTCCTGCGGCGGCGGCAGCGGCGGCCGGTCGGAGGCGGCCGAGGGCGGCGGCGCCGCCGGCGGCGGGCCCGGCGACGCCGGCGCCGCCAGCTCCGGGAACAGCGGCGCGCACCGCAGCAGCTGCGCCGGCGGCGCGCGCACCGGCACCGGCAGCGCGGGCGCGTGCGCCTCCACCAGCTGCTGCCTGGCCTCGGCCTCCGTCTCGGTCTCGGTCTCGGTCTCGGTCTCGGTCTCGGCCTCCGACTCGGGTTCGGTCTCCGAACCGCTCTCGTCATCGGTGCGCTCGGCGCCGTCTGACGCAGGAGGGGGGCGTGAGGGGCGCCGCCGCCACGCAGCGGTCGGTGTCGACACGGCAGTGGGCACGCCCCAGCACTGAGACACAACTGGCAGCGTTACATGCGACGCCGCGCCACTGTCGCTATTGTTTGTTATGCTGGAAACTTTGCATGCAGCTAAACTCGGCTAGTTTCCGCTCGCTTTTGGTTTTAAGACAGCGCACAACATGAGCTCGTACTTTTTAAAAACCTACTAGGCTGTCCGTTCCTCGACACAGCATAAATGTCCTCCAAAAGAACCTGCAAACAAAACGCCTTCAAGTGTTGGCCGCCGCTGGAAAGCGCCATATTACCGCACCTGCACCGCCTAAAGCACCTGCGCCATATTACCGCTCACTTGTTCACAAATGTACCATAAGTTAAAAATCAGACGGCTAAATCACGACGCATCATCCCCCAACAACAGACTACATACGGATGAACGCGTGAGGGCATCACCCACCCACAGCGACAACCGCGAGACATCCAGCAGCGACCCTCGGCACTCACCACCGCTGGCTTCCGGCTTGGGCAGCGACGGCGGAGTGAACTTGATGGGGCTCTCCAGCCGCTCCACCGGCAGGCTCCACTTGGACACGCAGCGCAGGATGGTGTTGGCCGCGCGGCAGAACAGCCGGTCATGGCGCTCGGACGTCGGGCAGCAGCGGAGGAACGACTGCATGGCCTCGCACACCTTGGCCTCCATCAGCGCCTCCCGGCCGGGCTCTGTCGGAGGGGAACGTCAGGCCGGTGAGACGTCCCTGCGGCGCGGGACCCGCCCCACCTAACGTTTACATTTGAAAAGACGACCAGCGGTTCTGTTCTTGGCTCCATTTATCGCAGCTCTCATCCTCCTGTCAATGTCCATACCCTGCTCATCTGGCCCACGTTATTTTGTTAACAACGTGACGCACGTTGTCGCACACTATTGCATTGCATGAAGCGTACAGGAACTGCGGAGATCACAATGGCCCCAGGGGTCCTGGGGCAACCAGGACTCGAACGCAGGGCCTCAACATAAAGGTCGAGGGTCCTATCGAGGTGGTATGCGAGGCGTTTGCACGGTGGACGGATCTTGTTCAGCCGTAGCTTCAACCTCAAAGGAAAACCAACAATTATGTTCAGCTCCGCTGTCGTTCCGTCTTGGAAATAGACACCTTGTTTTTTCATTTGTTCTATCCTTTCTTCACTTTATTTTTCGTTTGGGTCAAAGGACACACGGTGCATGTTATTGGACTATCTTTCACGAAGCGCCAGAGGCTTCGGTGGTCATCTCAGCACCCATGGACTGTGACGCGACTGGGACTCGCATCATGTAGTAGTAGAAAGCCCGTCCACTCGGTTACCACACCTTTGTTCACTAGAGATCTCGGGCCACGACCAAATTGAAAATATGTGTGTAGCTAGGATTCCGTTCTTTTTGAAGACACAAAATAAAAATAGCTAAACGAGAGGTCCGTTTTCCCCAGGACGCAAGTGACGACGGGGATGTGAGAGCTCCCTTCTAGGGCTAAGCCCTTAGGCGTACCTTCTTAAGCCTTCTTCTTCTCAAAGGTCCTTCTTGCCATTAGGTTGGCCACAGAGGATGCTACATTACGCAGTGGAAACGCGCAATTTCAAGACAACATAACAAATGGGGGAAAAGTCCATGACCGAAATATTTCACCCTGAGGTGGACTTGGGGGAATGCGCGTACATACGCCCCCACTTAAACGCAACACAGGGGCTGACTCACTCACGTAAAACAACAAATTTATAATCTTCTTGCTTCATGGCATTCATGGCTTACCCTTTATGGCATTTACTGATCGGTTCAATTGTCGCAAAGTCGTCAGATGACCTCCACTGCACTCTTGCGAATCACCAACGCAAACGGCTTACTGTCGCCCGCTTCAGCAGAATTTCCATGGGGCGTTGCAAGTGGCACAGGTCTGGACTCTTGTTTTGACGGGTTTTCAGTTATGGACGTGGTTCCGCGAATCTACGTTGTGGTCAACAGCTGATAGCTGTAAACGGATAGTAGTGCGATATCACTTCATATATATATATATATATATATATATATACATATATATATATATATATATATGTATATATATATATATATATATACATAAAGTGCCGCCAAAACTATCCTATGGCTGCTTACGACCAGAACTCTCCCAAAGGTTTGAAAAGTGCGAGCGCCGTTGGGGAGACTCGAGCCCACCAGTCTGGAAGCACATGACCCAGTACGCTCATGTTTCACAAGAAACCAGCGCGTAATTTCGTTCCAACGACGGACAAACCGAATGCATCAGATCAATACCGTCGGCAAAAGATGGTCCCACCTCATTACCTGCAATATGATCCTCAGACATGATACGTGACGACGATTGTCAATCAGTGCAAAATCAGGCTTCACCGTTACAATTATAACTGTCCCATCCAACTAAATATCTGCGTTATCCTTCAACGGCCCAAACCATGAATAAGTACGGAATGTTTTCATAACCTGTGTCGCTGAAGTTTGTCCCAGTGTAATCTGATAATGCAACTTCGGTGGCACAGATGTGGGGGAGCTAAAACCTTTAAGAACCCAACAACACCGCGAGACACCTAACTCACGCGCGCTCCTTGGATGACCTGGATGATACTTGTACCGTCCGGACCAAAATGATAACATTTCTGTGCCTACATGCTGACAAACAGTACGCACTGCCACACTTCCTGCATATCCACCGTGGCCTGCTCACCCCTGTCCCAGACCGAGACCGACAGGCACGGAACAGGGTCGGGGCGAAGCCCGAAATTCCGAAGCGCGACGCCATCACTTCCCGCCGCTCTGCCTGTCCGTCCACCCGCACCTCCCGTCCGCCGGCGCCTCTCCCCCGTCCCCCCCTCTCTCCTCTCCCCGCCGGGTTCTCGCACTGGACCCGACCCCTGTTCCACTGACTATCGATGTTTGCGGCGCGACCGGCTGCACACGACACCACACGGCACGACTATCAGTTGCGCCCGTCACGGCTGCTCGTGGCAGACGCCACAGACTGTTGACACACTCCTTAATCCGCGCCGCCGGAGTGGGCCGATGGGGCTTCTCTAGGAGCGTGCAGATCGGGTGCACCCTCACAGCACGCCGGAGTAATTTTCCGTTCGGCGTCTGGCGGTCGTGTTTGACGGCACGCAATGACGTCCTGAATGTTGCTGTCGCTGGTGTGGTGAGCCGCTGCTGCACGCAGGCTTTCCGTGATAATCACGAGCCGCTGCTGCAGGTCTTTCCGTGATAATCACGAGCCGCTACTGCACACGCAGGCTTTCCGTGATAGTCCACCACGATGCCAAGCTCGCACCGCATCCTCAGAAATCTCACACTTAATCTCACCAATCACTGTCAAGTCGCATAGCCGCATCAGATATGCATAAAATTACGCGCGTGGGGATGCCCGTGCCGAGAGCGCGCCGTACGCGGTACCTCCGTGCACCTGCAGCGTGATCAGAGCAGCGGCGTGTGCCATGCCCACCAGCCGGAGCTGAACGGGCCGGTAGGCACGGCGGAGAAACCAGCGTCGTCTTTGCCATGTCCGTGGCAAGCACATGGCAGCAGCCGCACTATACCATCAATAAGCGGGCTTTATACCGACACCAGGGCAGTGTCCTAGACTTGCCGACTTTGGGTGTAAAGCAACACCCTATGGGGAGGAATTTTTCACTCCTTTTCCCCATATTTTATGTGAATTTTTCACTCCCGCCTGACGCTTTCTAATCGCACATGCCAAACCCCTATTTCCGTTTCTGAGGCGTTCAGATGTCATCCAAAACCGATCTCACTTGAAAGCACCGAGCATAAACGAGGCTCCGCAGAACCTGGACACCTATGGCTATGTCCTAACGCACCTACATCTGAATCATGTCTATGTATGCACAGAGCAAGGGCGCCAGGTACCTCCAAGCCCAAGAACCCCAGCAACCCCAGCCGCTTGCACGCATTCAGTTTGGTTTGTTTACAAAATGCATCAAAATCTGCAGCTGTGTGCCAAACGCAAGGTTTTCACGCATCCCCTATTTTTTTGGTCTCACCACCACGCCACGAAAGCAGAGCCTGGTGCAAACACCAGCAAGGCCTGGTACATAATTTTATTCTACGTATTTCTTTTTTCCCGGGGAAACTTGACCACCAAATTGCATCCCTCCCGAAATGCATGAGTGAAAAGTTCAAGAAATGCCTTGTAATTTAAACTTACAAGATGAATATCACCATTTGAGCACTTACATTAACAGATTTTAAGTGAAATCAGCTGATTACAGAATTTTGCGAGAAAAGTACCAGTCTTTACATTTATTCAGCTACTTTTGTTTTTCTTGGCATCAAACCAGTGTGATACTACTTTATTCTTTCTTCCTTTTCGATTATCTTCAGAGGTACCATCTGTCACCTAAAATTTTGACCAATTTCTCTGCAAGATGCTCCAACTGCAAACTTGTACGTATTTCATACATAAATTTGATTAATTCGCCAGCCGCCCAAACATGTTTGATATGCACCCAAGCGTGAACAATTCGCAGGGAATGGATGAGACTTCAATTCGCAGGAGAGACAATTCGCAGAAGAAGTGCATGGCAAATGGCAATAGGAA